CCTGCAGGGCGGAGGGGCCGGACTCCCGGCGCGCGGGGATCCCGATACCCACCTGGGGTGGGGGCAGGACGCGGTCTCCTCGCGGCAGGCCAGGAGGGCTCCGCTTCTGCTTCCAGCGCAGGCCTTAGCCAGCAGGAGTTGTGTGTGGGTGTGTTTTCCCCAACAAAGAGGGACCAGGAGAGAGAAGGGGGGAAAGTAGAGGGGAACCAGGGAGGGGGCGGGGAGGGGGAGAGGGCAGCGAAGAGGTGAAATGAGCCCATTTCAGGGGGAGATGGAAAATGAAAGCAAATGGAGCACAGCCTCCTCCTCGCGGGCGGTGCGGACGAACCCGGGAGCGGCCTCCTCGCCTGCGGCGGCTGGGATAGCCCGCTGGGGGCACCGGGGAAGCCTGTTTTAAATTTAATCCGAACTTGACGGTGTGGATTGAACCGGAGGGAATTTAAATCACTAAAAAGGAGGCGCAGGGCGAGGGGAGAGGATGCCTCTAACCTGTCTGCCTGTCTGCCTGTCCTTCCCACGGCGGTGCTGGCTTGCTTGCAGTCGTAGCTGCCCAGGTTTGAGGTGATGGATAAGGCTGCCCCTCCCCCTTAGGGGCTTTCCTGGGCCCAGTGGGATCTTTGGGGGTTGGAGGGGAGTTCTAAGAACCAGAGTAAGGGCAGAGCTGCGAGCTGAAGCTGGGGTGACCCTCTCCACAACAGGGGTTCCCAGTGGCCTCCCATCTCTTGAGTTTCCCCCACTTGCGCTGAGGAAAATTGAAGGGGTGAAAGGGAGTCTTGGAATCTGCCAGGGGATTCAGTAGGAGTGACTGAACCTGGGAAGACAAGCCCCTCCTTCGTGGTGTCCCCACATCCTTGTGCTCCCGTCCCTAGAGGCCTGGATTTGGGGGAGCCTGAAAATCTGCTTCAGAGCCCTGACCTGCCACCCTACCTCCAAATACAGAGAATGGGGTACAGGCCATATGCAGTTGTGGAAGCACCGGGACCTGGGCCTGAACTCAGGGGCTCCCAGCCTCTCCCAGCCCCCCCTCCCCCCCTCTCCAAGGCCAACTCTCTAAGCAAGGCCTAGGCAAAATGGGGTATTGGTGGGGAGGGGGCTGTGGGCGAGGCCTACTTCCTGATCCACAGCTCTGTCTATGCCTGAGTAGGGAGGGTCTGAGTTCATGCTCTATAACTAAGGTGACAATCTCCCCTCAGTTTCATGGGGAAATTGACAGCAGCAGGGAGTGTGGGCCGGAGGATTTCAGCTGTGATTTCAGCTGCCCCATGCTGCTGCCTCTGCCGGTTGGGCAGGGCTGAAAAAAAGGCAGTGGCCAAAGAGGCTAGGAGAGAAAGGGGCATCTGCTCGCAGCCACTCTGCGTGAGAGCTCTCCCCCAAAGCAGAGGCCCATAGAAGAGGTTCTTCGGGGGTATCTTTTTTCTAGGAAAGCTGAAATTGGGGCCGATGGGCCCTGTGGCCCGGCAGAGATGCAAAAGAGGAGCAGGGCGTGAAAGCTCCTTCATCATGTCTTCTTTGCTCCTTGACTAGAGCATGGCTCAGCCCCAGCTGCCTGGAAGGCTGCCTGGGCTGAAATGGGGTTCTATATCCCAGGAGCCTAGTGTACCCACAGGAGCAGGACGCTGGGAAGGGCAGGAGAGAAGGCCTCTTCCTCCTTTGTGTCAGGACAGAAGTGGCCGCTGTGCCTGGAGCCTGTCCCCGGCAAAGGCCCGGCAAGCAAGCGGACTGCACAATGCCATGGCTGCTCCGCCAGCTCTCTATCCCATCCTGCCTGCCTATCACTGCCCTTCCTCTGTCTTGCTCTCTGCACGCCTTCCTTTCCCTGCTCTCCTATCTCTTTTCATCTTGCCTCCCCTCTTTTCTTTAATTCTCCCCTCGCTCCTTCTTTTTAGCCTAATCCTCCGTTTCCTTTCCTTCCCTCCCTCCTTCCTTCCTTCCTTCCTTTCTATGGGCCTGATGCCCTGTGTGTTTCAGTTTTTCGGTCTCAGGCTGTCTCGGGCTCAGTCTCTCTCAGGCTCTGTCCCTGATGTCTTCTTGGTCACAGTCTGGCCCCGGGCCCGCCAAAGGCTACATGTCTGCCAGCAGCCGCCCAAGAGCTGGTCAGGGTCCCCAGCCGCCAGGGCTGGGGGAGGTGCTGACGGCGCTAGGGATTTGGAGAAAGCCTCTGCAGGGGGACTGGAACCTCTTGTCTTTTCCTTGAACTAGTGAGGGAGAATTTTTGATTGACAGCTAACCCAACTCCATCAAGGCCAAAGAGATACTCTGTTTCTTGCTGTTATTTGGATTTTCCAAATCAGTTTAGTCTGGGGGAGGGGAAGATAATCCAATCAGAGCCGAGGGCGAGGAGGTTGAGGCCCCCCCCCAGTCTGTTCTCCCCAGCCCTTAGGCACTTCTCATATCGTGCCCCCCTTTCGTAGAAATCCCAGCCCTGCTTGACCGAAGGGAAAGAGCTGGAAAGGGGGAGGAACAGGGACGGGGGATGGGGCCTAGAAAGCTGGGGTTAGTGTTTGGACTTCACATCTATTCTTCCCCCCTCAACTTTCCTCCTCCCCCCAACATACATACTACACTCTCTGGGACACCTCTCTCCAGTCCTTCTCGGCCCCAGAGGAGACAGGTTGGCCTGGGTGCAGGAGAACCCGCCTGGGCCCCCACCCTGGTGTTTGTTTGGTCCCCTCCTGGGGACAGGAGTGGGAACGAAGGGCAGGCATCTCTGATCTGGAAGCTCCTTCCTTCCCTGCTGCTTCAGAGCCTCCTCTCAGCCTCAGCTCCTGCCTTCTTCTTCTCGCACAAACTGGGACTCTTTCCTTCTGACCCTGAAATTGCATCCCTCCTTCAGACTCGCTCTGCTATGCCTAGGGTGCATCTGCCTCTGGGGACATCACCTGCTCTTCTCCCCCACCAGCCAACCTTCCTGCCCCCTCTTTTGCACTCATCCTGAGAATTTCCTGCTTGTCTAAAGCCCACCTTTACTAAGCCACCGTGGGACAGTCCCACAGAAAGCAGAGGACTGGGTACCAACCCCCCGAATTCAAACAGGAGGGTAACAGCCAACTTATTGGAGGAAGGAAGCCTGGTTGTCTGTTCTTCCCTACAATCACACGGCTTCTCCAGAATTCCTGTGTCCGATCCCAAAGAAACTGCTTTCTCCAAGCCCTCCGTTGCCTTTTTCCCGTTCCAAAAACAGCCTACAATTTTATTTAATGAAAGACACATTTATGAACAATCAAATGATCCTCATAAAATTTTTATTGAAGGACGTAAAAACAAGCTACTTGCCCACGACTGAGGTCGCTCTCTTGCCTTGCCCGCTCTCACCCTGGCTCTCTGCAGACAGAACCCAGGGGTGACTTCTTTTTTGGGGGGGGTCAGGGTGTCCCAGAGATGGAATTGGGGCCAAGGTGGGTGAACAGGAAAATGGGATGGGGTTGCCCCACTTAAGTTGTGTAGATCTGTCCTCCACTTCTTCAAGCTGGCAAAAAAAGAGAGAGAGATAGATATAGACAATAAATTTAAAATAGAGGTGCTTGCATATCTGTACCGAAGCAGAGAGAGGACTTTTGATGCTAAAGGTGTCTGAGGTCCAGAGGTCCTACCCCTCCCACCCGCGGACCACCTTCCCTAACCTTCCCCTACCCCATATTTGGGGGGCTGAGTTGGCCAGGGCAGAGGCACCTCTCCCCTTTCTCTCCTTCCCTCCCTCCACCCCAGCTTCTCCAGTCCCCTCCCACCCTCCCTCTCTCGCTGCTGCGGCTCCTGAAAGAAATACATACATACACACTATTTAAAAACGCATTTTTAAAAGCCACGTTCCGAACTGACAATCGCTGATCTCGGCTCGCGCAGAGACTGCGGGAGCGTCGGGCCGACAGAGACAGATTACGTCAAGAAATAGTTCCTCCACCTACCTCGGCGGCCGCGGTCCCCAGGTTCTGGCGCCCAGCTCCGCCCCGGGGGTCCGGGGACCCTGGGCTCCGGGACTGGCATTTTCACCCCATTGAGAAATCCTCCTGGGGGCGGGGGCGGGAGGCCATCTGCTTATGGGTGGAACTGGGCAAGGGGGTTCTCTGCTGAGAGACGAGTTGTCCTGAGGGGGTGACGGATGCCTTGGGTCCAGAGCTCCGGACCCCCAGGAAAACGCAGGTCGCGGGGATCAGCAGAGAAGGGGGTGGGAGAAGGTATAAAAAAAAAAAAAAGGCAAGGGAAAAAAAAAAAAAAAGCCCCTGCGCA